GCAGCATTAGGAAGGTTGTAGATGCTGCTGTGGATGTTACTTATGTGTGGATCAAGGCTTGGAGGGCACTTGATCAGGTAAGTTTGCTGTAGTACCTGACGGGGATAAGCCACTATTGGTGCCTTGATCTCTACCCTGCTGTCTCAAGTCTCCTGCCCCGTCCCTACAGACTGCAACATTCCTCTCTGCATGGATGCCCCTGTCTTGTGAGCCCGTCCTTGACTGCTCTCTTCTGAGGCTGCAGCTCTTGACTGGCTTAACAGTCACACAACTGGGTTGGGCAGTGACTTTGCCACCGGTACGCCATGGGTTTTCCTAGGGCACATGCAAGGCTGTCTCTGTTCCTGTGGGTGGGAGGGGTCTTGGGAAACAGAAAGCATGTAGGCCTTGCAGGCTGCTACTCAGGCCCTACAGGACGCACCCTTCCCTGCGTTCAGTGAGACTGAATGTGAAAGTGGGAACCCAGGGCAGCTGGGGTCCCTCCTGATGGCCTCTGTCTCGTTCCTTTTAACCCACTGCTCCTGACTTAGGGTTCTAGCTAATGATTCTGTGTGTTGCCCTGGGTCCCTGAAGTGACTATGAGGCTCCCCCTGCTTGGGTTTTGCCTAGCTGGCATCTGAAATAGATGTTGCTTGTGGGAGATCCCAGGGTCATCAAAGGCCAAGAGAGGGTGGCTGACTTGCCCAGGCAAACAGAGCAGTGAGTGGCTGAGATGAGCAGCCCACCAACAGCTCCTTTGCAGCAGAGCATATGTGGCTGTGCCCTTTTCATTCCCTTTTCTATTCCTGATTCTTTGCTGGTCTCAGAAGGGGAGAGATGGGCCAGCGCATACACAAGTGTGTGCGTGTGTGCATGTATGCATGCGTGTGTGCACGTACGCGCGTGCGTGCGTGTGTACAGGTACACATCTCATGTGTCTCTTAGCAGTTATTGGGGGGGCAGAGGTAAAAGTTAATTACCAGAGGAGAAAATGTGTTCTGGAATTGTCTCAGGTTTTATTAAGAAGGCTAAGAGAGTGGGGTAAGGTCCTAGAGGTGGGTGGCTCTGCACACCATTCCTTTAAAGTAGATTAGACACCTGGAGAGGCTGGGGAGGGGGATATTCTGAGTGAAGGGTCTTTATCTTTACCGGAAAATGCTTGCTAGTTGCTAAGGAACTGGGTGTCTTTCCTGATCTAAGCCTCCCAATGTTTTCTTAGTTTGGGAGGGGGATACTGGGCTGGGGCTCAAGCTCCCTAGCTAGGTGGCCTTCTCCCTGGGTTGCCGAGGCTCTTACGGGTCTGATAGGAAGGACTCTCATCTGGAGGAGGCTGCTCCTTGGCCTGAGCCTCGTTGCTTGTTTCAGTTGAGCTGGGGAGAGCAGGTGAAGTGGAAGAGGTGAAGAGGAGGAAAACAAGTATTTGTTGAGTAGCCTGCATGCCAGACACTTCGTTCCAGTGTCCGCCCTGCTATCTCATTTAACGTCGTAACCCATCCTACAAGGGAGTCATTTATCCCTCCCCCAGCTTTTCATTGTATTCTTTATTGCATTTGAAACAATTAAGCTGCTCAAGGACCCTAGATTGCCATGTGGCAGACATCCATTTAGGTCTTGGAGGGGGTGGGTTTTCTTTCTATTTTCTGGCTACTTAGCCCCCATCATCACCATTGCCATCACTGTCATCAGCAACACTGTCCCCGTCACCTTCACCACCATCACTGCCACCTCTGTTGTCACCTACTGCTCGAGCTCTCGTAGGTAGGTGGCTTTCCATCCTTTTCCATTTGTCTACCTTTTCGAGAAGTAGCTACCACACAGGTGTATGTGGGGAAATACAGAAGGGAGATTCAGTTAATTGATGGTGGAGTGGTGAAACACTTGCCTTTGACAGGTGGGGGGTGGTGACACAGTCTTTGTCTGTGTCAGCCCGTTTGCCTTGAGTACTCTGGGGCCCTAGCTTTCTTCACAAAGGACTGGGAGGGCTAGCAGCCTTTTTCCTTTGGTTCAGTCAAGTTCCTGAGTGGATAAAAGACCCAGGCTTTATTTTATATTGCCTAGAGAGTAAAATTAGAGTCCTGTCTCCCTCTGGATACTGTGATGAGAGGCAGTGTAGATCGGGGTGTGAACACAGCAGTGTGGATCAGGGTGTGAACACAGCAGTGTGGACCGGGGTGTGAACACAGCAGTGTAGACCGGGGTGTGAACACAGCAGTGTGGACCGGGGTGTGAACACAGCAGTGTGGACCGGGGTGTGAACACAGCAGTGTGGATCAGGGTGGGAATACAGTAGATGAAACGTTACGTGTAAAACATTTGGTGTCTAGTGCATGGTATGCAGCAAGTTCAATAAGTAGCAAACATATGATGATGATGATAATGCTTTTTTTATTTAAAGATGTCAGTTCTCTTTAGTGTGTAAAGGATCACACTGTGTTCCCTCCCTTATATATTGTGTGGCAATCTGCACACTTTTGTTTTCTTTTGGTGGAGCTAGTGAGGCCCCCAGAGTTCTGCAGGTAAAAAGCTGAGTCAAGATTAGGTGCCCCCACAGGTTGCCCTCCTGGGCTTGAGGTTTTTGCCCCACCTCTGGGCCTTCCCCTGTGGTTCTGGCAGGGCTGGCTTTAGCCTAGGGCCTGGGCCAACTGTGTTTTTCACTTTTTAGGACCTGAAGAGTGGGGGTCCCTCGTGGGGCTGAACTCCAAGCCTAAAATTCTTGGGCAAGAAAGAAGGGGTGAAAAAAGGGAAAGAATGCAAGCTGATAATTTCCTCGAAGGATAAACATCCGATTTTTCCCTTACCCCAAAAATAAACATGCTAGCCACAAGGAATTAAAAGCAGAAGAGGGAGGATGTCTCAATTTGGGGTTGTTCTAGCAAGCCAACCTTCTATTTATCCTAGTCCTGGGCACCACTCGGAACTGCCAATTACGCTCTGCACCTGGCATGGTAAGGGTTATGGAGAGAGAGTCCCAGGGAACATGGTACCCAAAAGTCCCTTTTGTGGCCGTCTCCCATGACACTGCAAATGGAAACTTCCTTTGTTTCTTATTTTAGCGCTGCTTACAGACTTGCCTGGTGGGGTAAAGGGAGCGGGAGGTGCCTTTTGCCCTGGGCTGGCATCTGAATTTGCTCCTATTCTTTTGGGCAGGAATCTGAACCTAGTGATGGAAGGGGCAACATTCTTCCAAGGCACAGAGTCAGTACCCTGCCCCGTCGCATTCCTCAGATCCCATCAACTGAAAATTAACTAATGAGTTAAGACTGTGTTCCACGGGGTGAAGGGTCAGCTGAGGCCCCTCTACCTTGCAGCTATCGTGGGGCATTGCCTCTAAGAGGGTAATAACCGCATGCCTAGCTTCATCCTGGCCCTTTCATCTGGAGATCTCAAAGCACATTGTACATGAGTCACCAGTGGTGCTGTGTCTCAGCCGAGGTCTCCACATCCTCTCGGAGGGAAACTGGTCGAGGGGGTCTTGAGGGGAGTAGAGAGGACTAGGGTGGCGGTAAAGCAGCTGGAGAGCTATGGTTCCTGCTGCACACGAGAGGAACAGGAATGCATTTCCGGGGGTCCTCGGGCAGCAAAGCCAAGAAGCATACAAGGAAATCCAAGGACCTTAGATGATGAAAATCCTTTTCCCATGAACACCCTCCTCATGGATTCTTGTCGCCCCATCTGATTTCTGTCACCTGTCTTTCTCTAATCTACTTATCATTCCATAATTTCTTATTGTTTATAAGGGATTCAATTCAAAATTATAGCATGACTATAAGGACTGGCCTGGCCTTTGTCTACCTATCCAGCCAATGTCTTTCTTGCGTGTGTCATTCCAGCTACTTCATTGGACTTTCATTTTTGGGAAGATGCCACATGTGTTCCTCCCAGCAGCTTGGGGAAGCTCCGAGGAACGCTCTGCCTCCATTTCTAGTCACTGAATTAATCTCTACCCCACATTCCAGCTCCAGCTTCAAACACCAGCTTCTTCCACAAGGCTTGGCCTCTTGCGCTCCTCCCAGAAACTAGGCCCCCTTTACAGCCTCATAACACTATCAAAGTTTGCTATAACTTGATTGTGATTATCTAATGATTAACACCCCCTCCCACCCCAGATTGTGAAGATCCACAAGAGTAGCAAACATCCACCCCCCCCTTTCTGTCCTGGGTCTAGCATGGAACAGGTACCAGCCAAATTCCCTAAATGAAGGCTGTTGGCTGTTAGAACTGGAAAGGTACATGGTCAAAACCCCAATTTCCACCAACACTTCTTCCTTCCTCACTGCCAAAGCTGGGGATGGTGGGCTATAGGGAGGATGAATGATTTGGCAGCTCAGGCCCTGGGACCTGGTCTCCTGCCTGTCAGCCTGACTCACTTGCATTTGTAAGGAATCCTCAAACCTAGGACTAGACACTGGTCCCGTCTTTCTTGTTGGTTTTCTTTTCTTCTCTCCTTCTTTCCCTATGCCTCTTTCTTCTTCTTACTACTTCTTCTTCCGTGTGTGCATGTTCGTGTGTGTGTGCATATGCGTGCGCGTGCATATACGCATGTGTTTGTGCATGAATGTGAGGTCAGAGGAAAATCTCAAGCATTGTTGTTCCTCAGGCACAGTCAACATTTTGTTTAAGATAGAGCTGTATCCCGCCCCCCTCGCCTGCTTGCTTTCTCTCTCTCTCCCACTCCCACTACCTGGTTTTTCTGTGTAACCCTGGCTGGCTTTCCTGGAACTCACTCTGTAGGCAAGTCTATCCTAGAAATTTGCCTGCCTCTGCCTCCTGAGTGCTGGGATTAAAGGTATTGGCCTGGATAGTGGCCAAGTAGCCTAGGCAACTGGCTAGTGGGCTTTGGGAAATGTTTGCCTGATTCTTATTTTTCCCATCACTGGGCTTTTGACATGGGTTCTGGATATCCCAACACACTTCTTAATGCTTGCAAGGCAAGCTCTTTATTGACCAAGCCATCTCCTTAGCCTTTCCCTTGTTAATTTTCAAAGGAATACAGGTTAGGAAGCAAATTGCTAATCCCTGGGTGACTTTTCTTTTCTTTTCTTTTTAATTTGGAAGATTCCAAGAGGAGATTCTGACCCAAGACTATTTGTAGTAGATTACATGACATGGGCACACATCTGGAAGGTAAAGTCGGCAGCTCAGTGAACCGTTATCTTTCACTGAATTTGCCTTTGGCTTCATTCATGCGTCTAAAAAATTGTGGTATGTGGCCATCGAATTCAGTCATGAACTGGGTACTTGCTTCGTGACTCTGCAGCCTGTGGTCCTGCAGAAACTTTTCCAGTTTCCAAAAACCTAGAAAGACAGACAGACCACAGAGAGACAGTAAGAGATAACCATAGACTTTAGATGGCCTGGCAGGGAGAGGCAATTTCTGAGTGGACAGGGCTACCCTTTGTCCCTGAGCTAGGGAGTACATATTGCATGGGGGAATCTTCTGGGTCATAGCTTTAGGAAAGTCTGGATGTTTGTAGAACCTCTCACACATGATAGAGTTAGATGTCTGCTTGCTAGAGGGTGATGGTGACATGTTGCAGAGAGTTAAAGCCACCTTAGGCTTCCTTCCCAAGAGTCTTCTATTTAATATACATTGCTGCCTCCTCACCCCAAGTATAGAGAGTCATCATCAGATGAATGTTGGTCTTCCCACCCCCTCTTCTTGAAGGTCTTCTGATGACAGAGGTGTGGATATGTCTCATCACATCCTGCTCACCCTAGCTGTTGGGGCCGAGATTGGTGGGAGCCTACTGCTGTTCTTACAACTCCCCTCCACCCAGAGCATCAAGTACCCCACAACACACAGCTCCTCCTTGAGGTGAAGGAGAAGGGCCGCCCTTAGATCCTCTGTGGGGATCAAGTATGGGAGACATGTCCCTTGCTTAGGGCTGGAGAGTCCTCGTCAATGCCTAGGTCAGAGGCTTCTGAGGGGGCATCAACCCAACGAGGTGTGCCTCCTGTGATGAGAGGAGAGGGGTCTTGTGGCAGGGAAATAAGTGTACAGCTCCAGACATGGAAGGAAGTTGAGGGAAGTGGTTGGAAGTATGTTCCAGTCTTTCTTTTCCAAATCCTGAGCTTCAAGCACCTTGGCTGGAGGGTTGCCAGGAGAGTTAAGGAAGCACTGGTAGGTTTGGATTTCAGGTAACAAGTAATTTGCTGTAGCTTCCCCACCTATTTCATGGAGTATTCTTACGCTAATTTTTTTATTTTCCTGTTTATTTGGATAACTGTAATTCACATGTGTCCTACAGTGTTTTATTATTTTAGGGGAGAGGTTAACTCAAGAAATCTTTCTAGGGTGGGAGAAACACCCAAAGAAGGCCTCACCCAGAAGACCAGACAGGCAGTGACCAACATGCCATGGTCTGTGGAGACCAGTTGTCACTGAGATCCACTGGAAGAGTGCCAGCGTGAGGCTGGCAACCCAGAAGTCCCTGCACAGTCTCACCTTAGAGTCATAGGCCACTAGTGGTCCCCAGCTATATCCACAACTGCTTTTATGAGGATGATATGAAGTTCACCCATGTTTCTTTCTCAACTTACCTCCCCACCCCCTACCAGGTAAGGTTCATGTTTCAAAGATCTTCTGAAGGACCAGGACATTTTTTGTAATACCAACTCCCCAAAGCTATAATGACGACAATGCCAACAGTAAGATGAGAACACATCCCTGTAGTGTTTCCTAGAAGCCAGGTGTTATCACAGGAGCACCACGTACATTACTTCATGCCACTTCTAATGTGGAGGACTGTGACTATTCTGGTTCACAGATGGGATTGAGCCGGAGGTGGGGGCAGGATGGGGGTACAAAGTCTTTCAAGGTTCCTTCAAGACTACTTAATAACTGCATGTTTGACTCAGTCTCAAGGTCTGTAGAGTTAGAGCTTATGCTTCTTGGGAAGGTGGCTGAGATGCTGCCAGCTTGGCCCATGGATAGGTTCTGGCTACACCGGGCAACTGCATGATGTGGCTTTGTGTCATTGTTCTTTTGTGTACATTGTGTGGTAAGAACCCCTGTACCCCAGGGGCTAGGCTGACTAGAAAGAAATTTTAGTAATCTGACCCTTGAAAAGCACATGCAGGTGTGTCTCTGTGTGAATGGGCATGTGTGTGCGCGCGCGAGCCCCAGAGAGGGGATCTTAGGTGAAGTAGTGTGTGGTAGTTACAAGGGGACAAGGTAGCTTTCTCCTTTCCTCACTGAGTATGACAGGAAGGAGCCTGGGTGGCAATGAGGGAATTGAAACCCATCACGAGATGAGAGCAAGCTGGTGGAAAGAAATCCCCTATGTCCCGAGAGAGAGGGGCCTGGCTCCCCTTGATCAGAGCTGGCCAAACCTGACTAGGCAGCTGTCTTTTGTGCAAACTTAGAGTGTCCTGAGGTAGTTAGGCTCCTTCTGGCCATATTTCTAACAGCCTTGTGGTTCTCAGCAACTTGGGCAGCAGCTCCTCAAAGCCAGGACCCAGACTAGTCTCCTGCTGTCTCTTCCTTTGGCTCAGCAGGGACTCCTTACACACCCCCACTAGTTTCCTGCCACAGAAGGCAGGAGGAACTGACCCAGAGTATGCTCTAGAAGGAAGAGGGGTGAGTCAGGCCCTCAGGGGCATGTGGAGAGAAATGGAGAGCTGTGGCTTCTGTGGTCACTGCTCAGAGGAAAGCCCCTTCCTGTGTGGCACTGCTCTGTCTTCTGGCTGCAGGAAGAGGGCGGGACCACTGCTCTGGTAGCTGGCCATCAGGATTCTTCTTGGGACAAGGCAGGGTGGTGAGTGAGGCCTCTGGTGTTTATGTCCTGAGCTGCCTGGAGGGAGCCTCGCAGAGGCTGGAGCTCCTGCAGCAGAGCCACGCAGATCATATGCAGTCTGGTCTCTGCACAACCCTAGGGCACGCCTTTCATCCTACACAAGCAGTCGGAGCAGCTTTGCTGAGGAGGCCACTGCTTCTGCTAAGAGCTGATGGAGAAGAGGTTGGCCAAGGTGCTGATGTTTACTTGGTTGTGGAAGGGGGTGAGGGGAAGCACGCTATCTAAAGCCTGGAGGAATTTGAACCACACTATATGCCTAACCTCATACTAGACACTAAGATTAGGAGAGATGGAAGATCCTCTCTTCAGCATCCAGGAGAGTTTTATTCCCAGGGAATGCCATGGCCAGCAGGTTTGGAATGACCTTGGTGGTAGATGTTGATGGGCACTTTCTCCATTATAGGTCTCAAGTCCATGGCTTTTGCAATTTGGGAGTGGCATCTGTGTGCCCACATATCATTTGCAGGCTTCAGGGGAATGAGAGGGGCAGTTCATCACCTAGAGTTTGTCCACTCCGAGTGGAGTGAGTCTCTGTGCTTGCCCCATTTATGTAACATGGGGAAGGCCTCCCTGGATCTCTCACAGGCATAGGTGGTGGGGGCTGCTTTATCTCCTTATCTAGCTTCATTCCTGACCTCAGTGAGTTTCTGATATTAGATAATTAACATCGGATTAAAATAAACCAGTCCCGGTCAGGGAGGCCTTGTCCAGTAACACAGCTTTGTAACCAGCTCCTCACTGATGCTTACAGTCTTTGTAGCAATCCCACTTTCAGATTTCCAGTAATCATAGGTGAAAGAGTTTTCATCTGACTTTCCATGTGGTCCTTTCAACTTTGGGATGTGGGGTCGGGAGGCTGAGGGGGGCAGCCCCCCACTCAGGTAAGGTAGAGAACGAAAAGACGAGGTTCTTAGTTGTTGACCTTGGCCTCCTGCCCTAGGCAGCCCATACAGGGACCTGGACATCTGGCTCTTAGCTGCCTGATTCCCCAAGGCAAGTGACTTGTATCTGACCGAGGTGTCTAGCCCCTTGCCTGGCCTGGGCCTTGCTCTATTCTCCCTTTTGGGAGAGCAGGGGACGGTGGCTCTGAAGAAAACAACACAAATTCAAGTCCAAACTAATAACTACCCCATAGAGAGCCCGGCTCAGGTCTGTAATTTGTTTGGCTCGCCAGGGCTGGATGCAGCGATAGAAGTGCTGATGCCTTCTGCAGAGATTAATGATGTCCCGGCAGTGGTAGGCGGGAGGCCTGAGCCTTTTATTTTTTGTGCCATTAAATGACATCCAGAGACTTTCGCTCAGGAGCTGAAAAGCCCTCGTTCCATCACATCCAATTACTTCTGGAGAAGTATTTGCTGAGTGGCTGATCCTGCCGGCTTGAGAGGCTTTGGGATAGAGGGACCACTGGGACCTGGGACTTTGGTTCATATGGGCAGGAGGGAAGCTGGGCAGGGCCCATTGCTGTGAGGAGCTGTCTCTTCCCTCTGTAGAAGAGAACCCAGGAGAGCTGGAGAATGAGGGGATTTCTCACTGCTCAGCCAGGGGGTACTGGGGCCTCCTTCTGTCTTGTAGCCAAGGGCAGTGATGGAGAGGGGAGAGAGACTAAGGAATTCAATGGCCAGGTTAATGTTTACCAGTTCCTGTATTGGGTGGTAGCAATGACTGGCTGGGATTTGGGAGTTATCTGTTCTCTATGATCTATGTGTTCCTTTTTGCTTTGAATGGTCAGTGTTTAGCCTGGCCGGTGCACATTTCTCCAAGAGATCTACCTTCAGCCTACAGAAATCTCAGGTAGTCCCTGGACTGGGTATCTGAGTGTGTGCTGCCAAGATGTTCCCCGCTGGGTGCCTGCCAGGAACCCAAAGGTACCAAGCTCTGCCAGGTGGGTGGGGCCCTACAAAGGCAAGAGAGAGATGTCTGCCACATAAGCCCACAGTGGGAAGTGATCAGGGGCTAGGCCCTGGGGGATTCTGGGGCCAGGCCAAGTGAACCACTGTGGGAGGTCATGGGGGGTTGGGCTGAGCTCTTTTGCAGTGGGGCCTGTATGTGTGTGTTTGTGTCTGTCTGTGTGTATGTGCTGGAGGGTAGTAGTTTGAGGGTGGGTCTGTTCTACAGATGTGACCTCCCTTTTCTGGAGCCTCTTCCCTTCATGCTCCCCAGCTCCCTCTGAGATTTACCTTTTGCCTACAGGCCGATGGGTCCCTCCTAGCCTTGTTCCTGAATGTCACCACCACTTTTGCTTTGGGGCTCTGTTGCTTTCATGCCTGTGGCCTCACAGTGGCCCTGTCTCACTCACCCAGAGAGCTCTGCAGGTGTTCAGATCCATAAGCAAGACTTAGAAGCCATTGTATGGCAGGCCCATACCTGTTCCTCCTCATTGACCCTAGAGTACAGATGTCTGTGCGCTGGGGAGCCCTTTATAGCTGTCTAGCTTCAAGCCTTAACCATTCCTGCTTGCCGCTTTCATCCCATTTTGCAACAAGTGAACTTTCCCACTGA